AGCTGTCAGCACAGAGCATGATGTGGGGCTTGAACTCACGGACCTCGAGATCATGACGTGAGCCGAAGTTGGACGCTCAACCGACTGAGCCACCCAGGTACCCCTGTAAGATCCAGTTTTAACAAAACCCTGCTGTTTGAGTTTAGCAAGAGTCCCCTGCTCTGATACCTGGTCAGCCTCACATCTGGTATCACCCTCAGGCGACACATGATCACCCGGCCTGCCCTCAGCAAAGATCCTGTCAATCCCGCCTGCTGCTCGCAAGAACATGTCCACAGACCACACTGCACTCAGAGCTGAGCCCAACCTCTCCTCCGCACTGAAAAGCCCCACCGCAGGGGGCCCTACACTTATCCCAGTGTCCTGGATGAAGTCTGCCATGCCATTTTTAACAAGTGTCACTGAGCATTTTTCTCTTTTAAAAAAAAAATTTTTTTTTAACGTTTATTTATTTTTGAGACAGAGACAGAGCATGAACGGGGGAGGGGCAGAGAGAGAGGGAGACACAGAATCTGACACCAAGAAGACCTAAATGAATGCAGAGGCATACCATGTTCATGGATCAGAAGACTTGTCATAGTGAGGATGTTAATGTTCACCAAACTGATCTACAGATTTAGTGCAATCTTGATCAAGGTCCCCAAAGGATTTTTTAATACATACAAACAACCTAGTTGTAAAACTGGAATGGCAAGCAAAATAATACCAATAACTAAAACAGCTCTGAACAAGAATAAAATTGGTGGCATAAGGCTATAGTTCTGAGACCCACCATAAAGCGACAGTAGTCAAGACTGGTGTTGGCAGAGAAACAGATACACAGTTCAAGGGAGAAGAGCATACAACCTCTGTATAGACCAGCTCAGATATGTAGCAGCCCTCATGGGTTCCATACCATAAAGACACACACATCTACCAGTCCTAATTTTCGTACAGATTTGCCAGGGAGTCTCTGGACTACGGAAAGCAAGTACCAAGTAACTAAAATAGGCCATCATTTTCTTTATGCCAAAAAAAACACAAATTTTTTTTCCATTGCTTCAGGGAAAGAGGGAAAACGAACCACCAACTTGAAGCTCTAAATACACATGCACCCGTTACACAGTGGTTTATGTGATACTGACTCATCAGACGGACTTTGGGACAAAGGAGTCAACTTAATTTTGGTCACTGACATTTGTAAGTTTTAGAGACAAGGGTATGAAGGCTTATCAAGGGTGAAGATAGGGGGCCGCCTGGGTGGCTCAGCTGGCTAAG